CCACTTCTGATACTCCATGATGTCAGGACTGGCCTTATTTTTAATACTTAACCTGAACAAACTGCCTTCTGCCAACCCTACACAGCCCGTTCCACTTAATAATGCAGTTAGACAGAAGGAGTTGGTGTGTCGGACTCGGGAACCCTTGCGGTGACTTCGTGACTTCCACCACCAAGCCCAGGTGTTCTGTCTTCTAATTGGTCACGTGGTTTTCCAGAATGGTCTCAAGCTATTCAGTCTGTCTTCCCTCCTCTGTAAAACGGAAACCATTTCTTCTCTTGGTCTGTCTGAAATTTCTGACTCTTTGAGCCGTCACTCCATTCATTCTGGCTGCCCCACCCCATGGACTTCCTTCTTCTCTAAACTTCTAGTCACCACAAAAGAGATTATTTGTGCACCTGCATCCAGTACTCTGAGATGATGCCCACATATGTGAAATAAAATTTAAAAATCCATTATTTTGGAACTATGTAAATCTATAAAGAAGCCAAGCAGTTGCTCACAGTTATCAGATATTGCAATTAGAAGGTGGTTTTTGGTCAATGAAAAAAAAAAGTTGAATATACAAAATCTTTCAAAGGGGGCAAAGCAGTATCCAATGCTTTTTGAAAGCATTTGAAAACCCTTTTTCAAAGGGTGATTTGCATTATCTGTCTGAGCCTTGATTTCTGGACATGAAAATGAGAAGCAAATGAACATTCAGCACAAGGCTGTCATGTAGTATGTGCTCAATTAATGTTATTGAAGGAAAACTAAACCACAACTTGCCAAGGTTGTGACACACAGCCACAGGTCTCCCTCAGCTGAGTCCTGATTTTGAATCAGGAGGACTGGGGTGCTACCTGGGTGTCTCAATTTACTGCCCTGACCTGGTATGCATTTTTAGGGTGATGTACATCAACTTCTAGGAGAATAGGTTCCCATTCACAGCACCTGCATCAGTGGGGACTCCATCCCCATCTTACCCACCGTGGGGACATCTTCCTTTTCTGTCACTTTCCAAATAGCTTGGATCAATGGTCATGGGGCAAATTTTGTAATTATAGTGAAGCTATAACAAAGGACCCTCCTTGGCCAAATTTGTTTTACTTTCTAGAGATGACCAAGTTGTGTAGAAACTTTATAATGGCTTTTTTAAAATGTCTCTATCATTTTTGAAGATAGAACTAGAAGGGGCTTCATTATTTAGAACTGGATCTAAACAGACCCTCCACCCTCAGGTAAACAGCTGAGTTTTACCTTAATCGAGCTGTTTCCCTCCCAGGCTCTGTCATGTAACACCCACTTCACTGGGGAAAGGCCAGTGATGCTTCCTTTGCTATAAGGAGAAAATTCAGTCTTCTACTGAGTTTCTGAAACCTTGCTGTGTGTGTGTGAATCATCTAGAGACCTTGTTAAAGTGAAGATTTTGAATCAGGAGGGCTGGGTGTGGCCTGAGATCCTGGACTTTCAAAGCAGTAGGGCCGTCACTGGTGCAGGTATGCACACTACGTTGGCCTTGAGCTAGATTTTAAAAACCGGTAAACAGAGAGCTATAAATGGCAATATGTAGATGCTTGAGTGAATGTATTCAGAATAGTGAGATGATCACGCATTCTATTTAGTAAGCCTTAAATAAGTTTGTCTGGATTGACCTGTTAGTTCTCCCCCAACTTTCCCTGGTTGATTAAGTACTGGGATTCTTTGACAGCTCAGTGTTGTAGGGCCAGGTGGGGACCCATGCTTCAAGGCAGTCTCTCTGCTGGGATGTGGTGGGTACACCCAGGCGTGAATTCTCAGGGCCTGGTTTGAAACAAATGGATGTGTTTCTGCCATGAGAAGGCAATTAAGGACACAGGGCCATATGTCTGCAGCTCAAAAGAGACCCTTAAAGCAGCAATTCCACTTTCCCGTCTCTCCCCGTTTCACTCTCTTCCTTCCTTACCTGCCTGCCTTCTTCCTTCTCCACACTGTACTTTTCCACCTTCTGAAACCCAGAAACGCCTTTAGTCAAGCATCAGGCATGTGGTGTGTACTGTGGCGCCCTCTAGTGGCATGGTGAAATACAGCAAAACATAATCCCTCCCAGAATTTCCCCTAAGGAAAAAACAGAACCTTGGCAAAGGGAGCAGACCCGGACCTACAGCCCTTAATCAGAGAGCTCCGTATCTTAGCAGCCATACTGATAAATAGGAGACTTGATCCTCCTAAATGGAGGGGGAAGAGGAACTGACATTCTTATCAGTCTGGTCCTAGTTTTTCCAGTTTCTGCATTAATCTTTTTGTCTTCGATTTATCACTAGTATTATCCAGAAAGGATGATTATCACCAGGTAAAACTTTACAGGATACATTTGAATTAGTGTGCTAAAGGCAATATACCCTTAGTGTTCCACTTAACAAAAACCAGCTGTGGACGCTACATAGAGATTTTTAGGACCAGTAAATAAACAATATAAACCAACCAAGGCATTGCTGAAAACCAAGTTAGCATTCTTTTACAAATTTACTAAAGCTGGCTTCTTTAAAAAGTGCCTTTAGCGGTCCTCCCTGATGGCGCAAAGTGTTAAGATGCAGCATTGTGGCTCTGGGGCTGGGCACAACCTCCTCAGTGGGAATTTGATCCCCAACCCGGGAGCTGACCCACATGTCACCCGCAGGGCGCAGCAGACCTGTCCTGGCCCACCCACTGCTCCCCTCAGCAGTGTACTTCATCCAAGGATCAGCCTGTTCTGCTCCCCACTCTATCTCTGGTGAATCCTCTCACTGCCTCTGCATCTCTGGCCTGTACCCCAGCTCTGTATGCATAAATAAATAAATAAATCTTTAAAATAAATAAAATAAAAAGTGCCTTTAGAGGGGTTTTCTAGTTTTGTATATCACGCTTTGGTTTGGACTGGCAGTGTTCTATTTGCCTTGCTAATGGATCTCTTTCTGAATGTGTTTGACATTTTGCTTGCTTTGAAAGAACTTTTATGCTGCTGCTTGTTCTTCCCTAGAGCTGCCTTGGGCTAATTAACCTATTCCCTTACTGGTTGGGCCCACTATATGCAAATATTCTTATTTCGGATTCTGACATTTCATTCCAGCGTGAGCATCCCTAATGAAATCCTGTGGGATTTGGTTGGACCTGCGCTCCTGTGGGACCAGCAGGGGGCGCATGAAACAGCCGACCGAGTAGAGCTAAGCGATGCCTTAGGAAGTAGGAGAATGTGTTCTCTTCCTTAAGAATGACTCTGGAAACCTAAAGTTAAACGATCACCATTAGTACTTTTTAAGAAGCCCAAAAAGGCAGCTGTTTTTGGTGCTCGTGTAGTTTAATTTTATTCTGTCATCGTTCTGAAAATAGCACAGTCATTGTAATCGATGTGCAAGGGTTGAGTGCAAATTGTATGTGCTGCTCTTAGAAAAAAGGCTAGGCAGAATGAAGTTACTGGGGGCTTGTACAAACTCTGGGTTAGAAGACTAAACAATCGCCATTACTCCTTTGACACAGCGAGAAATTGTATTCTTTTTGAAAAGTCCTTTGGTGTTGAAACACCAGCTTTGTTAACTTCCACTTCTTTATATACCTGATCAAAATCACTGAGGATGGGGAATTTCTTTTGCGCCATTTGTCATGATGTATGTTAATAATGGTGAAGCAAACCAACAAGGGTCACTATGTCATTGGCAAAAAGAGTTACAGGTGAGAGTGGGGTGAAGGTATGGTGTAAGCTCGTGAATAGACAGGGCTTCAGGGCACAGGGGAGAGAATAGGGCTGTGTTCCTATAGGGAGGGATACTGCTGCAGCCTCATTACAGACAAAGATCAGTGCAGCCTGCTGTGTTTGTTTCAATATCAGATCATAGACAAGCGTCCAGGGATGAAGTATGCTAGATTGCACGCCTGGGATCGGCAAAGCTTGACCCCATAGCTTCCGGGATGGCTCTCCCCGACAATGAGCACTCCTGCAGCTACACATGGGGGGGCACTCACACCCAGGACTTTTGGCCTGGTTCCATGGATGTTCTCCTTTTGCTGATGGGCATCTATTCGCCACACAGTCATGATGAGACGGAGGTCAGAGGTTGCTGAGATATGTGTCCATAAGCACCCACTCAGGGCTCGCTATTTCTACGTCCAGGTTTAAATTCACAGGTCTGATTGATATCATCTCTTGGGTTAGAGATGGGTTGGCCCTTTCCAGGGAGAGAGGGAGAGTGGGTGTGAAGAGGAAAGCCAAATTGGAAAGCTACAAAAGGGCAGGGATGAAGCAAGCACATAGCCCTCATTAAAGAAGCATTCCATGCAGCTGCCCTCTTACTGCATTCTCCTTTCAAACTGTAATCATATTCGTTTAAAAGCTGTCTCACAGATTTCTTTTGACTCTGTAACCACATGAATGGCTGCCCTGGGAATTCTTAGGAAACATGTAGAAAACAGGATTGGTTTTGGCTGCCTCTGCTGAGTGTGTGTGTGTGTGTGTGTGTGTGTGTGTGTTGTATTAAGAGAGAATTGTAGCTCCAGGATGGACCCAGGTCCAGGTGGGATGTTTGAATGTTGGCAGTAACCCTAGCAGATGGGGATGCAGAACTCATGGAAAGCCACTTGGGATGGTCACTCCCAAGCTGCCTTGCTGGCTCCCGCTGCTAGGGAGGTTGGCAGCTGCTCTTCCTGTGGGCTTCATTTGATTTTCCAGCATGGTAAAGAGGGAAGGAACGAGTCCAGCTTTTCCTGAAAAGGAAACAAGAACTGCTTTATCTCCTCTTCAAGGAGAAAGGAGGAAAAGGGGGTGTTGAGAAGCACGTCTTGGGGGGACTTGTTATGATAAAGAGGAATCTGCTCAAGTTTGACTGGCTGTGGAGCTGATCCATCTCCCAGCCTTCTACCTGCCCGGATGCTGGAGTTAATCTGGGGTTTGGGGGGTTTACCTTAAAACCGGGCCTAGTCTCAACATGTGCTGATATTTTATTTCCTGTTCCTCCTTTCCCCTCCCCCCCCTCTTCTTCCCCTGCCGCTTCCCCTCTTCCTGCTCCCAGATTCCAGAGCTGCTGCTGGCCGATCGCACCCACGGGGAGATGATTCCTCATGAAGGGCCTGGATCCCCTACAGAAATCAAATGTGACTTTCCATTTATCAGACTAAAATCAGAGCCCGCCAGACAGTGAAACAGTCACCGTGGAGGGGGGACGGCGAAAAATGAAATCCAATCAAGAGCGGAGCAACGAATGCCTGCCTCCCAAGAAGCGCGAGATCCCCGCCACCAGCCGGCCCTCCGAGGAGAAGGCCACGGTCCTGCCCAGCGACAACCACCGGGCAGAGGGCGTGGCATGGCTCCCGGGCAATCCCGGCGGCCGCAGCCACGGGGGCGGCCGGCACGGCCCGGCGGGGACTTCGGTGGAGCTCGGTTTACAACAGGGAATAGGTTTACACAAAGCGCTGCCCACGGGCCTGGACTACTCCCCACCCAGCGCGCCCAGGTCTGTCCCGGCGACCACGCTGCCCACGGCCTACCCGCCCCCGCCGTCAGGGACGCCGGTATCCCCGGTGCAGTACGCTCACCTGCCACACACCTTCCAGTTCATCGGGTCCTCCCAGTACAGCGGGCCCTACGCCGGGTTCATCCCCTCACAGCTGATCTCCCCCACAGCCAGCCCGGTCACCAGCGCCGCGGGCGCTGCCACTCCATCCCAGCGCTCCCAGCTGGAGGCCTATTCCACTCTGCTGGCCAACATGGGCAGTCTGAGCCAAGCCTCAGGACACAAGGCTGAGCAGCAGCAGCAGCAGCACCTCGGCAGGACGCCCGGGCTGGTCACCCCCGGGTCCCCACCACCCACCCAGCAGAACCAGTACGTCCACATTTCCAGCTCTCCGCAGAACGCCGGGCGCGCGGCCTCTCCTCCGGCCATCCCCGTCCACCTCCACCCCCACCAGACGATGATCCCACACACTCTCACCCTGGGGCCCTCCCCCCAGGTCGTCGTGCAATACACCGACTCTGGCAGCCACTTCGTGACTCGGGAGGCCTCCAAGAAAGCCGAGAGCAGCCGGCTGCAGCAGGCCATGCAAGCCAAGGAGATCCTCAACGGGGAGATGGAGAAGGGCCGCAGGTATGGGGCCCCGACCTCGGCCGACCTGGGCCTGGTGAAGGCCGGCAGCAAGGCAGTGCCTCACCCCTACGAGTCCAGGCACGTGGTGGTCCACCCCAGCCCCGCGGACTACGGCGGCCGAGACTCCTCGGGTGTCCGGGCCTCGGTGATGGTCCTGCCCAACAGCAGCACGCCCGCGGCCGACCTGGACGTCCAGCAGGTCTCACACCGGGAGGCCTCCCCCTCCACCCTCAACGACAAAAGCGGCCTGCATCTCGGCAAGCCGGGGCACCGATCCTACGCGCTGTCACCCCAACAGGCCCTGGGGCCCGAGGCCGTCAAGGCCGCGGTCGCCACGCTGTCTCCGCACACAGTCATCCAGACCACGCACAGCGCTTCGGAGCCGCTCCCGGTGGGACTGCCCGCCACGGCCTTCTACGCCGGCACACAGCCGCCAGTCATCGGCTACCTGAGTGGCCAGCAGCAGGCCATCACCTACGCCGGCGGCCTGCCCCAGCACCTGGTGATCCCCGGCACCCAGCCCCTGCTCATCCCAGTGGGCAGCGCCGACATGGAGGGGTCGGGAGCGGCCTCGGCCATCGTCACGTCCTCGCCCCAGTTTGCTGCAGTGCCTCATACCTTCGTCACCACCGCCCTCCCCAAGAGCGAGAACTTCAGCCCCGAGGCCCTGGCCACGCAGGCCGCCTACCCGGCCATGGTGCAGGCACAGATCCACCTGCCCGTGGTGCAGTCCGTGGCGTCCCCCACGGCAGCTCCCCCCACGCTGCCTCCCTACTTCATGAAAGGCTCCATCATCCAGTTGGCCAACGGGGAGCTGAAGAAGGTGGAGGACTTGAAGACGGAAGACTTCATCCAGAGCGCGGAGATCAGCAACGACCTGAAGATCGACTCCAGCACGGTGGAGAGGATCGAGGACAGCCACAGCCCGGGCGTGGCCGTGATACAGTTCGCGGTGGGGGAGCACCGAGCACAGGTAAGGTTTGCCCGGGTGGCACAGGGAGCGCGATGCCCACCACAGGGCCCTCCCCTCCCCAGGAAGAGGAACTTTTTCTGGGAGGTAAGCCTGTCCCTGCTGTGGGAAGGTTTAAGGATTTGCAGTTACCCCGAGACTTTTTTTTAACTGCAGATTTACTTAATATTTTTTTTTAATGGATTGATGTACCTACCCCTTGGTTCCCAATATTATATAAGTGTCAGGAGTCCAGCTTCCCACCTCGATAAAAGCAGGTACACAACTCGTCATCATCATAGTTCTAGAAGCACTGGCCACTGTCCAGTTGAATCCCCCATGTTTCTAGACCTAGATTTTAGATTGAATGCTTCCCAGACATGTTTTATGAGAGAATTAAGCCCGAAGGCCCCAAGGCATTGATTTCTATGCATCTAGAATAGGGCTAGTCAGACACTATCCAATTTAGAGTCAAAAATCACCGTGAAGTTATATTTTGGTCGAGAGGGAAGACAATGAGAAAGGTTAACCTGCAGGGCTCTGGCATCAACCCACCTTCTGTGTTTTATGTTTGGGGGAGACAGTGCTGGTCGGCGTGAGGACATGAGGTACCCAGAGTCTGCACACCGCATTCCAACATCCGCATTTTAAAAGCCAGATTTTATTTTATTTTTTAAGATTTATTTATTTTTGCATAAAGAACTGGGGTACAGGCCAGAGGTGCAGGGGTAATGAGAGGACTCACCAGAGACAAAGTGGGGAGCAGAACAGGCCGACTTATGAAGTACACTGCTGAGGGGAGCAGTGAGCAAGACAGGAGAGGTCTGCCGTGCCATGTGGGTCAGCTGGCTAGGGATCGAACTGGCTGAAGCAGCTGCCGCTAACTTTGCAGTGCTGCGCTTTAACCTGCTGCACCACCAGGAGCGACGAAAAGTCCTATTTTATTACTTAAGTGTGAGATGCTGACAGATGAGGAGACAACTTATATAAAGACCCAGGTGATAGGTACAAGATCCCAAGAGGAAGGGGCACAAATGCCAGCGAGGCAGGGCACCTGGGGGCACACTAGGGTCAGCCAGGACAGAGGCAGAGGGAGCGTGTGGAGGACACAGGGGTGAACCTCTCAGGACTGGCTGTTCCAGTAGCTTCACAGGGCTCTGCGTCTTCCTTACCTGCCTTGTTTCTGCCCCTGAGGTAACTCAGGCAGGTGGCTAAGTGGCCTGGAATAGGAGAGACTAGAGGGGAGGTAGCAAAGTAGGGGTTGACATGCTATGAAGGACTTGTTCCCAGATGGGGTGTTTGCTTTCCCCAGGAATGAACTAACCCTGGAGCTGCAGTCCTTCCACAGTCTTTAATACCCCACGATGTCACAGCATGAGAATATGGGAAAAGAAAAGCATAGTTAATTAATATAATCCAAGTAGTGGAGGCTGTGCCCCGTGATTGCTTGAGTTTCTGGTAAATAGGAACCCAAGGGTCAGATACAGCTAAGCTGAGTCATTATAAAACTATGATAAACACTCTCCATTTCCATGAACTCCTTCAGTCCGCCCTTTCTAGTCTCTTCAATCATTTACATGCATTCGTTCCACAGCGCGTTACACGAACCAGCAGCTTCACTGCCCAGGTGACTTGGCATCAAATGTAGGGAGTCCCTGGCCATCGAGCCCCAGTCTCTCTGGGAATGTTGCCAGCAAAGGCAACCAGATGTGATGCTGGTTCTGTTACAGGGCACCCCAGTGTGAACTGGGCTGCCTGTCTGTGGGGCCTCACCCGCGTGCTTAAAATTCAATTGTACTGCACACAAACACACACACACACACACAAAGGGTTGATAATGGGTTTATTTACAAAAGGGGAAAAGAAAAGGAACAACCCAGAGAAAGAGAGAGGGATACAAAGTAACTGGAATATCTTACCAACTCGGCTGACTTGGAGTTCTGATAACAAACTGGAAGTCCCCAGTCACGTGGTCCCAAGTGCTGTTTCCCAAGAGAGAGCGAGATCCTTGGACAAAATGGCACCCTATTTATCTCCCAATGTCCCAGGATGCCTGCTTAGCTCCGCCCTTGGGTCCTCGCAGTTCTCTCCCTGGTACTGCTGGGAGTTGTAGTTTCCAATCACTGGAGTAGGGGGTGGAGTCCAGAAAGCTGGAGTAGGGGGTGGAGTCCATAAGACTCTGCAGAGTTCTTTTAGGACATCCTTCCCCTTAACAATTCCTTCAGTTTGAGTTGAAAATGGTCATGGCTTAGCTGATTAACATTGTGACATTCAGAAAAAATAAACAAAAGAAGACACGCAAGTTAATGGTTTGATTTGTTTTTGTTTTGAGTATATTTTTCACAGATCAAGTGAGGTTAGGGGAGATCAGTTTTCCAAAGTGTTTTCCAGAATTGCTTGGGAATGACTGGATGAGGGAGCTTGCACAAGAGCCTGCATTGCTAAGAGATGTTAGCCGCACATACTTTTCTTTTTTATGGTGCAGTATCTCCAGAGTCTGACAGTCCACCGGGGCCCAAGAGAGATCTCTCAAAGTTTAGTTTCCAAAAGGTAGCAAAAAAAAATCAGCATCTTAAACAAAATGGCCTCTTTAAAATTGGTTATCATCTGCAGCTGCTGCTCATACCCACCTTCCTACATGGATCCTACTAGAAAGAAAAAGTAAGTTGCCTTTGGCAAAGTTGCCTATAAATAGATGCTGGGTGAAACATGGCGAATAAACAAAAATGAGACATTAAATGTGGTTTTTCAGTCCTTTCTGCCCTTAAAACATTATTATGGACAGAGAAAGATGTGTCTTTTATTTTTTTTTTAAACATTTATTTATTTATGCATACAGAAATGAGGTACAGGCCAGAGGTGCAGGGACAGTGAAAGGATTCACCAGAGACAGAGTGGGGAGCAGAACAGGCAGATCGACAAATTACATTGTTGGAGGTGGGGGGCGGGGGGCGGCGCAGCAGGCGGGTCAGGAGGAGTCTGCTGTGCCATGTGGGTCAGCTCCAGAACCAGGGTTCGAACTCGTACTGAAACAGCTGTGGCCAGCTTGCAGTGCTGCGTCCTTACCCGTTCCACCACCAAGAAGGGCCTTTTTTTCTTTTTTTTTTTAACCCCGAGATAAGAAAGCACAGGTTTCAGAGCCAAAGTGGAGTAATTTCTGGAGTTGGGTGGCTTTATAAAAATCTCCTGGCACTGAAATTAATATTAGACCCCTGCAGAAAGTTGTCTGACCTTCACTTTTTTTTATTGTATTTTTTTAAATTGAGGTAACACTGGTTTACAACACTGTTTATGATTTGGGAGTATAGCTTGACACCAAAGAAGGGTTATTTTGAAATGCTAACTCCTAGCCAGCATCTGTTTCAATTTGAGAATAAAGAGCATCCCTGGCTGTGGCCACATCACCAAGGTGCTGGAAGCTTCTACAGCCAAGAGCATCCAGGGCCTCTTCAGGCTTCTAGTTGATCTGGCTTTTCTTAGAGAAGAAACATCCATCTATGTTTCCTGAGCAAAATGCTCAGTCCTTTGTAGAATGAACATACAAATGATGAGAAATTGGCTTCCACCTCCAGACCCATTTCTTCCTGGAGCCAGGACACTCTTCTCTTTGCCAGCAGCCAAGGTGCAAATTAAAAGGTGAAATATTTGTCAGGCCTGTTCACAGGTCTGTCAGGGCGGCCCCTGTGGGGTCTGGTGCCTGCTGGAAGGGCTTCTGCAAAGAAAGGCAAGAGACTGTGGTCAGCTAACAAGGCAACTTGGCCTCAAGCTACAGGAACAGCAGTGTGAGACCCACACACAGTTCATGATTTGTCCCTTCCCGGGAAGCGTATCTGTATCAGAAACAGGCTGACATCATCACACTATGACCCTCCACTGGCTGTGCTTGCCACAGTCACAGCTTCAGAATTAGTGGAGAAGCAGACAGGAAGCCAGAGGGGCTGTGGGGAAGGGGGAGGGAGAACTAATAGCTGCATTTAATTTACCTGCCAGGGACCGAGCCCCCTTTCCGGCCCCCCAGTCACGTCACTCTAGGAGTTTTCTCTCCTGGCTTCAAGTCCATGACTTCTCAACTGGTTGGAAATCACTACCACTGGCGCCCACAGGGAGCTGGAGAAATGTGCAAATTGCTTAACTTAATTAGCAGAATCACAAATGTGATTGGAGAGGCAGTAGAGGGAACAACCACGGTGTCTGCAGGACAGATGGCTTGATGGCTCTAAGTATAAACCCTCCCAGGAAGGAAGCCACAGTTTCACCTCAGAAAGCGGCCCTGGGAACCCCAGGGTGGTGGGGCGGGTGGGGGAAAACCCCAGCCGGGTTTCTGGTCGACCGTGAAGAGGCCGTTTTACCTCTCAGAGCTGCTGCTTTCATCTCAGAACAGCAGATTCCTTACACAGAATCTTCGGATGCTCTGTTGTATAAGCCTTCACCTGTCTGCCTTGCAAACAGCTCTGGTAGTAGCACTTACCAAACCTGGCTTGCCAGCACCCACAGCGGGTCACGGGGCAAAGTTCTGCTGACCGCTGGTGCTGATACTCAGCACAAGGGCCTCTCAAGAACTAGCGCCATCCTGTGTAAACTCCAGAGCTTTTGGTTTGGGTGATATGTGAAAGAGCTGTGTGGTCTCTGGCTGTCGCTCCAGCTGAGGTAATGCTAGGAGGAAAATTCTAGCGAGGTGTTCGTCACTGCCCCTGTGAGGTCTTTGCATCCCCAGCACCATATGTCTCCACACAGGTGCTTTGTCCTGGTGCTGAGGAAGAATGAAGGGAATCCAGAGTTGTCCATTGCTAGAGCATCTGGGTCACCACTGCGGTGTCCCTTACTCTCCTGCTGCATGCGGGTAGAAGGCTCCACCCCCTCCCCACCCCCCCACCCTCAGGTCGACGGAGGCTTTCTCTGCATCATCATGTCTCTTGACCTTGGAGATTTGGCTTGAGAACCCCAGTGGACAGCAGACTCTCTCCCCTGGGACTTCTCTCCCAGTATAACCCTCTTAAAATTCTCCAAATGTGAGTACCCAAGTC